GTAACATCAATACAACTTAGTGCATAAGTTTACAAAAAGTAGCTTATCCAGGCAAAATAATCAAGAAAAACTTTACAGTTAAATTATGCCATGGGTCAAATATATCTAACTGACATCTACAGAACATTCCGTCCAGTAACTATATGACACACATTATTTTCAACAGCTATGAAATCGTTTTCAAAACAGACCACATTTTAGGTCATAAAACAAATATTAGTAAATGTAACATTTTTTGAAACAGTCTCATACATCTTACCAGATCATAATATAACATAGCTAGAAATCAACATCAAAATAAATTACAGAAAAAATATAAACACATGGAAATTGAGTAATATACTTTTATCGCGTCAGTAGGTCACTGAAGAAACCATAGAGAAATTCAAAAATTCTTAGAATCAGATGAAAATGGAAAGAACATATCTGAATCAATGAAATAAAATGAAAGCAGTTCAGACAAGAAAATGTGTAACTACAAGTTCCTACATAAAAAAAACAGAGATGTCACTAATAATAACCTATTAACCCGTCCTAAGATCTTATAGAAAAGATAAACCTAGAACCAAACAAAAAACCATATAAATTAGAACTGAAAGTGATAAAATAGGGACAAAGACACAATAAAAAAATGGTTTCCTTGAGGAGAAAACAAGATTGATAAGCCTTTAATCAAACTGACCATAAAAAGAGATGGAAGACCTAAATTAATAAAATTAAAGTGGAAAAGGGGCATCAAGGCATATACCATTGAAATCCTGGTCATCATAATAGAAGATTTAAAAACAGATCTTAACGCATTTTAAAAATGTGTAAAAACCACAAAAGTCTCTAAAACAAACTTCAAAAATTGAAGTAAGGGAATATAAAACCCTGAACAGGTCAATAGTAAAGAATGAGACTGAAGTAGCCATAAAATGTCCCCAAACACAGCAGAGCCCAGTACTGGAGAATTTAGTGCTGAATTTTTGTCAGACTTTTAAAGAAGAGTTAACACTGATCTTCACAAACAATTTCATGAAACTGAAATGCTTCCAAAGAAAATGCTTCCAAATTCAATCTATGAAGACAATAATCACCTCAGTAACAAAATGGATAAAGACTCAAAGAAAAAGAAAAAGGAAGCAAAACAACAGCCACTATATCATGATAAACATCAATGCAAAAATTCTCAATAAAATTTTGGTAATCAATTCAACAATGTTTTAATAAGATCATGTACCACAACTGGGTTGCATGTACCCCTGCATACAAGGATGGTTTGATTTATGCAAATCAGTATGCAAAATATACAACAAGATCAAGGATAAAATTTGCATGGCCATATTAATAAATACCCAAAAAAAAGCCTTCAGTAAAATTTAAGACTTTTATAATAAAAACTCTAAGGAAATAAGGTATAGAAAAATTTTGCCTCTATATAATGAATACTGTATATGGCAAATCCACATCTGGCATAATGAACAGGCAAAATATGAAAGCACTTCCAAAATAAAAAATTTCCAAAATTCCAAAAATAAGAAATGAGACAATCACCATTCCTGTAGAATACAGTACTCCAAAAGCTGGCAAAAGTAATTATGCAAGAGAAAGAAATAAGGATACAAATAGGAAAAGAAATCAAATTATCGTTATTTGCAAATGATATGATCTTTTATTTTAAAAACATTAAAATCTCCACCAGATAGCTTTTAGATTTGATAAGAAAATTTAGAAAAGTGTCCTAATCCAAATCAATACATGAAAATCAGCAGCGTCTCTGTAAATCAATAACTAACTCACTGAAAAAAAAAAATCAGGTGAGAAATTACATTCACAGTACCTGTAAACATGCAGGAATGAGACTAAGCAAGGGGATGAAAGACCTCAACTATGAAAATTAAAAAACACTAAAGAAATAAACTGAAAAAAGATATTAGAAAACATAATTACTTCCCATGTTCATGGATAAGCAGAATTAATATTTTTAATATAGTCAAATTATTAAAAATTGTCTACAGATTCAAAAATGCAATCCCTGTAAAACATCAATAACTTCCTTTACAGAACTAGAAAAAAATCATTAAACTGATGGAGAACTAAAAATGATGCAGAATAGCCAAAACAATCCTGAGTAAAAACACCCATGCTAGAAGTATCAGAGTAGCCAATATGCAAATACCCTACAATGTTATAGTGCAAAAATAGCATAGTACTGACCTAAAAATCCATATGGGGAAGAATGGAGTAGGATACAGTAAAAGTCCACATCATCTCTGGCAGTAGGGACTGGTTTCATGGAAGTTTTTCTTTTCATGGACTTCAGATCAAAACTTATTTTTAGTTTTCTCTTTTATTAGTACGTGTGTGCAGTGGAAGATAATTACATTTTCCAGATAATGTTACGATCACCATCTCAGCTTCTCTTCAGATCACCAGTGATTGCATTTTCATGAGAAGTGCATAACCTTGAACCCTTGTCTACTCAGTTTACAGTAGGGTTCAAATTGCTACAAGAAACCATACTATTGCCACTGCTGACCTGACAGGAGGCGGGGTTCAGGCCAGAAATGCCCTGCCCAAGGACTGGCAGCAGCTGTGAAAAAATAAAGCTTTATTCCTGAGCTGCTGCTCTTAACAGGCCAAGGACATGTATGGGTCTGTGATCCTGGGGTTGGTGATCCCTGGAATCGAGGACACACAAACACATTTATGCAACCACAGCTGCCTGATCCTTTTAAATTTTTGTTAGTACACATTTGCCATACATAATAATCACAAGCAATTTATACTTGTGCATAATATACTTCAATCATTTTCCCCATTCCCCTCTCCTTCTTTTAACCATTCTTTCTTTATTTACAAAAGCTGTTTTCTTCCATTTTCTTACATTCCTTCCATATTTTTCCTTCCATTTTCTCTTTTTAATCCCTTTAACCTTCACCCCACCCACCTCATTCCTCATTCCATTTAAACAAGTTTTTCTTACTTCCTAATTATCTTTCCTCCATTTTGCTCCTTATTTTCTTCTGTTTCTACATAAATAACACAATACTAGAGAGATAAAAATAGAAGCAAATTTAACAACAGCAATATAGCTAATTTCTCAGGTAGAAGTTATTCTAGCCACACAGAAAGAGCTTTATTATATCCAGAAGATTGATGATAAAAGACACCAAGTGTAGATACAAACAAGTATTTCTACAGAGAAAACCAGCAAACCATATATTCAAGAACGAAAATAAAAATGACCTTCATTTTCCAAAGTGATGTTAAAAGAGCATGAAGAAGACTTTAAAATTTAAGGTATAGATATTTCAAAATTAAAATTAACAAACTATTGAAAGAATTAATTCACTTTCTATCACACAGCTCTCATATAATATGCTTCTCATTGCTCTTTCTCAGTAAGTTATACAAACATTTTCTACCAAAATAGTGAACAAAACCATGAAAGAGGAATGTACATATTCCAAATGAGACAAGATTAAATATTCTTAGATCACAGCTATGCATGAGATCTACTGTACAGTGATGAAAATATAAGGTCTCCAAAATGTCTCCAAAGGGGAAAAAAGAAAATTCTGAAAAGATGTAGAAAAGTAGAAGCAATTAAAGAATTTGCACAGGTGCTGTTGAGGTGAGCACGAATTAAAGAATTTGGACAAACCAAATATGATGCAATCATTGAATTCAGGAAGAACCAAATGTTACACAATCAGGGCAACTTCACACTAGTTCATTATTTGACACATTAGAGAAAAGAACACAGTGCCTGTGTGCTATAATGTTACAGAAGGCGGCAGGAGGCAAGCTGTTACTAACATAGAAAATCTTAAACTTGAATACTCAAGAAACTGTCTAGTTACATTCTTGAAAGTAACAGAGTGAAACAATGAACAAATTATTCCCACGGATATTAACCTGGATGATTTTTAGACATCATCATGTACCTAATCAGGCAGATGTGATAAAATCTCAAGAAGAGATCAAACTAACCAGTAAGAACAGCTGTCAGGATAGTAACTGTCATTGTTACAGGTTATAGATGGGGAGGAGGAGAGATTCAGAAACCACTTTTGAAGTACTGATAATATTTCACTTCTTGATCTTTGTGGTACTTATACCTACATATTGACTTAGGAAAATTGTTCTGTACACTTTTATGATATTATTTTCTCTTTACCTTATATATATCTATAAAAATTTTAAAATAAATGGGAACAGTTATATGATCGAAGGAGCAAGTTTTTAAAAACTGGACCAGAATTCAGGGAATGTACATTGTTTAGATGACTGGTTTTTTAATTGTTTCAGAAATGGTCTTATAACATAACTTGTAGTTAAAAATGTGTAAATATGTGTATTTATAAATGTAAATCAATTATTTGTTAAAAATGAATTCAATTGCCAAAGTATTGCACTGCAGTTATGTTACCAGATATACACCTTTAAGAATTTTTTAAATAGTTCTAAAGTGATATATAAAATAAAAACAAAAAAAGAATAACACACATCTCATATGGATGTATACAATGGACAAGTGCATAAAGAAGTAGCAAGCAACAGCAACCAGTGATTTCTTACTGTTTATTTTTTCTCTGAATGCATGTATTATTTCTACCTATTTTCTGTTTTGTTTAGTCTTTCTTTAAATAAAATTTTAAAAAAAAGAAATCGCAATCATAAATTAAAGAATTTTTGCAACTTCTTGAACTTTAAGAAAACTGCAAGGAGTTTTCATCTTTGCTGTAATGTTTCATTTACTTAAAAACCCAAGGGAGTTTTTATGAACATTATGATCAGTTGGTATGTGAGTGTACCAATGTTTGCATTATACTTATGTTTGAAATGTATGAACTGCTATAAATAATGTTTAAAATTCTAATAGTTTTATTATAAAATAATAATGAATAACATATACAGAAAGATCCAGTAGTTATAAACTGTTTACTTATATTAGCACTTACAAAATATAAGGTTAAAATAGTAATAGCAAGAAAGTTTAAAAAAATGCGTACCATTGCTACACCCGCACTGTATTTTTTATTGCATATTCCGCCTGGAAACGTTGCTCCCATATAGTGAGGGTGTTTCCTGTAACTACATCATTATATTATTGACTTTACATTAATATCGTTATTCAGAACATTTTATAGTTGTATGTTAAATTAAACCTCCTTTTCCTATAATTTGGAAAATAACTTTGTAAATGTATAAAATTCCAATCTTACAATATATAAATTATATAAAACACTCATAACTGATTTTAGTGTCAGACTTTCTTTTCTCAAATAATTTAATTTTGATGTAATTTTACTATATCAAATTTAATTTAGCTCCCTTCATGGCTTATTAACTGGACAAATGTAAGTTAAAAAAGCAATTTTTAATTTGTGGAAAAATAATCTTACTGATCCTAAAATGTTTACTTAAAAAAGTTATCTGAAAAATGCTTCTTAATCGAAAAGTACACATAAAAAACATTAATGTAATGTTAACAGAATACGGTAAATTTTACCATTATTAGTAAGTTAAGAACTATATGTGATCTGTAGTAAACATCCCAAAATTTCATAAAAGACAATCTCATATTAATTATGCTTTAAAACATACTGATATAAAATAATCTATATTGTTTTTAAATATATTTCAAACCGCACCATATTCTCTAGATAGATACAGATTTTTGAAGGATCCTACAGAAAATCATAGAACACAAAAAATGAAGGGAACTAAGTTGAATGTGCCATTTTAATGGAATTATTTATGGATATCTATCTATTAATCAAGAACATCATGCTTACATAAGTAAATATGCTATGCCTTTGGGCCGTTGGATAAAAGAGTCCCTTTTCCATGCCAAAAATCTTTGTAATATGTCATCAGCATCTCCATCAGTCAAAATTTGGTTTTTATCTGACCACAGTTCCAGTGAGGACAGTAAAACAGTCAATTTAAGCTGGGTAAACATCTAAAAAAAGGATTTATGTTTTACAAGTAACATCGACCATCACATTAAACTAGTACATAAAATGAAAGAAAAGTTTGAATATTAAACTAACAAGAGATCTTTAATTCGTTTATTTGCTATACTAAAATATACAAATTATTTCCAATGACTTTTCATAAACTAGAAAGACAAAAAAGTAAAAACTTACAGCGTTGACCAGCCCAATAATCTGGACGATTTTCTGTGTTAAAGCCATTATTTCAGGTCCCATGTAATCATACTGGAAAACAAATTCCAATTATTAAAAAAATACAAAGGATAACAATTTTTTAGATGATGTGGCAGTAGGAAAACCATAGAGTTTGTCAAATAATATTTAAAAAACAAGAACACGAAGATGATAGCTTTCACAATAAATGAAAACACCATGTATGAGTATTTAAAACAGATTCTTGCTATATGCTTTAAAGATAAAGTAGAAAAGTAGAAAAACTTTAAAAATTCAAGAGGTACTAAAATAATTCTACAGATTTCTCTCCACTAGAAAGGAACTTTCTTTAGCTAGAAATTTTCGATGGAATAGAGGGACTCAAGGTGTCTCTCACTGCATGCCAGTTGAATAAAGATGAACAAATAAAACAATTAATTGAAGTTCAAAAATGTATCTATAGGAATAAAGATAGAAATTTCCATAATGTATAGTAAGAATTTGTTTGCAACAAATGGTTTGATAAAGAATAAAATAAGATAATGAATAAAAAGAGGAAGAAAATATCCTCTGAAGTTTAGTAATGTCTAAAGATGATATGGACTCATATTTGGTAACATGATGAATCTTTTCTTCCTTGGAGTTTCAAATGGAAAATTAATACTCCAATCAAAATTGTCAATTTTAATGGTTGAAAATAAGAATTTCTCCTTAACTTTAACAATGTCTATGGCTGATACCCCTCAATTACAATAATAATGAAATGGATGTGCCATTAATGAAATTAGTAATGTAAAATTTATCATATATTTTCAATGATTGAGTTTACAATTAAATATATCTTAAGTAAAATGGTTTCTGCATAGTACAAAAGATATTACTTATGACAGAGGATAGAAAATTATCTGTGAATACTCAAGATTTTATTGAATAATAAATATACTTTTCTACATTAAATGTCATGACATCCCAGACAGAATTGTTAGCTCCAAAAGCATATTTCCTAAGATATACTTGTCAATATAAGAATGCAACGTAACAATACTCAATCCGTAGGGATTATCTGTCATCAAAACATGATAAGCAATATTGATCCAATTAAAAGCAAAATCTAAAAAGCTACAATAATCGTTTGACAGATTAATACAACTTTCTTAGTCTCTGACAGAGCCTGAGGACAAGTTCAGTAAGCCCAGAAACCCTGAAGAAAATGATTAGAACATTTGTTTGAGCCACTAAAATGTATGCAGCTTTGCAGAAGGAAGCATATAATAAGTATAAAAATAAAAATACAATGAACTCTTTAAAACGCTTATGAAATATCTACAAAATTGATCATATGTAGGTCAGAATATGAAATTAAAATACATTTCAAAGAATTTATGTGATTGAGATAATACACACTATAATTAAAATCTTCAATTGGGGAAATATAATTCAAAATTAAACGAATGTCAAACATGCAAAAATAATGTATTTGAAAAGTATTTGTTAAATAAGAACCAAATGTTTAGTGCATGGTGAAAGATATGCATCTAGTTTTTCCAGCACCTTATATTAAAGAGGTTGTCTTTCTTCCAGTGAAAATGTTTGGCCTCTTTGTCAAAGATAAGGGGCTAAGCACATTTGAAGGTGCACCAGTATCTTCTTTTCTGCTCCACTGATTCACAGGTCTGTTTGTTTTTGTTTTTGTGGGGTGGGGGGAGTTGCCAATGCCATGCTGATCTTATCCAGTAGCTTTGCAGTATAATTTCAAGTGAGGAACTGTGATACTTCCTGATTTGCCTTCATTGCTCAGAACTTCTTTTGCAGTTTTAGGTATGTTCAGGTTTCAAATGAGTTTTAGGAATGTTTTCTCTATTTTTGTAAGGGGGGCTAATAGTATTTTGAGTTGAGTTGCATTAAATCTGTATAGAAATTCAAAGACTCAATCCAAAAATGGGCATTTGAGGTGAATATACAATTCTCAGATGAAAAATTTCAAATGGCAAAGAAGTGGACAATGAGAAAATGTTCAACATTGTTGGTCACCTGAGAGACACAAATTGAAACAACACTGAGACTTCATCTCACTCAAGAAAGAATGACTGTCATCAAGGAATCAACCAATAACAAATGCTGGAGGGACTGTGGGGAAAAAGGCTTCCTTCTCTGCTCTTAGTGAAGAGTAAGTAGTACAACCACTGTGAAAATCAATGTGGACATTCCTCAAAAAAACCAAAATTAGAGATCTCATTTGACCCAGCTATTCCTCTTCTGGGTATTTTCCCAGAAGATTTAAAAACATCATACATCTGTGATATATGTGCACCAATGTTTATAGCAGCACAGTTTATAACATTTAGATCTTGGAAACAACCCAAATGTCCATCAACTGAGGAATGAATAAAAAAAGAGGTGGGTTTTTTAAAAAATATAACAGCACTATTCAGCCAAAAAAAGGATAAACTGAAAATTTTTATAAATAAATGGATGCAACTCGGGATCATACTCATAAGAGAAATAAATCAGACTCCCCTGTATAAATATCACATTGTCTCTGTAGTGTAAGAAACTGAATGAATAAATAATATCCAAAAAGTACAATAGATATTGTGAATTGGAAAGAAACTGTGCAAAAGAAAAGAGAAACTGTGTTGGGGAAAGGAGAAAGTTAGGAAGGGAAAGAAAAATATATACATGCTAGTAAAGGCAGTTATGCTGCTCTAGTTCATTTTAGGTCATTGAAAAGAAAAGTCTGTGATAATATTGTTTGGACAATATTTCTTCCTTATATTTTGTACTCTGGGTAACTAATTTAAAGATAACAATATAAAATATATTAATTATTACTCTTCTATTATTTTGCTTGGAACTTCGATTTTGTTTTTTCCTCTTTAAAATAAAAAAAGCAAATGTTTTTGGAAATAAGTCACCACAAATTTGCATGATACTACAACCTCATAAAAATGAACTCACATCTTGAAAATATTAGGAAGTGAGAAATGCACAAAACCAGGGGTTTGAATACAATCTTTACTAGAAGAGAGAAAATAACAGCTTAAGGAACAGAAAATAATAAACTAGAAAATTAACTTTAAATAAATCTTAAGTTCTACCTCATAGTACAAAAATTTAATAATTAAAGGTGGATTTTAAAAACTGTCTGAAAAGGTATAAGGAAACAAAAAACTCCAAAACTGAAGATGAAAATAGTTGTGTCCTTGAATCAATAAAATATTATTTAAGTTTAAAAGTAGTAAAAATTTTAAGTGGACTTAAACTAATTATAATTAAATATGTGTATCTTCAAAGACAGCATTAAGTGTGTGTAAAAGCCATGGACTAGGAGACCATATCCTCAATATATCCCTCTGACAAAGAAATTATATTTGTCATATATAATGAATTCCCAAAAAGCAAGAAGAAAAATATTAAATTTAAAAGAGGAAAGCATATATTTACTGTGAAAGAGAATATCTAAATGGTTAACAGCAGTATCAACATGTAAAAAATTATTATTAGGTAATGCGCATAAAACCACAACATATTATAATTACACGTGTCATGTGACTAAGAATAATAGACCATTAGCACTAATTATTTGCGACAGTATGGAACTACTCAGCTTCTGTTTATTTTGGATGGCAGAAAAAATTGCCATAATCACTTTTGAAACTACTTATTAATAGCATCTTAAGTTAACACGTACCCTACAATGTAATAATTCTACTTCTACAGAGATATCTGAAAGAAATTGTCTGCCAAAAGTCATATATAAGAATGTTAGTTACAATTTTATTCATAATAACTGTAAGTTGTTATTCACATTAAGGAGTAAACAAGTATTATAGATAATAATATGAATTAATCATAGAGGCACTGTATCGAGGAAAAGAATTTTAATACTATAGATAACCTGTGATTCCACTTCCAAGACATCTGTAAACTAGCAACTTTAATCGATGGAGACAAAAGTAGAGGACATGTTCAGGGAAAAAGGGCAAGAAGCTGAGAATGTTTAAAGTGGATACATATGTGACATCTCGGGATATGCATACATAAAAGGCAAAATGCTGTGCCTTTGGTTTTATGTGATCTGTATCTCTATAAAATGTTACGAGGATACTCCTCCTCATGACTGCTGAAAGTCTGTTTTTACCTAACATGCCAATGCCATCATCACAGCTCCAGACAACGACAACAATATCCATCCCATTGTTTCTGTGATTCTGTTCTCAGGACTCTCTATAAGGTCTGATTTCATGCATCTGTCATTGATTTCTCTATTAATGTCTTTATGTAAATTCTCAAACAACTTTCAATTAACAGACATTAGGTTTTCAGTTTTATGCCTTATATGCGGGACACTAGCTGATTTCTTTGCTTGCCAACATCCCCCAAATCCCGCTCCACTTCCTTTCTTCCAATGTCATGAGTTCCCATACATGACTCTAACTACTCTCTGAATCTACAGTCCAACTTCCTCCACTTCTTACTCCACATAGGAAGTAAATTCTTCAACATATTCCAGTTACAGATGAGGAAAACACAAGCTCTTTCCTGAGGCTGAGAAGCAGTTGCCTTACTTGATGCCAAGTCGTACCCTGCACATCCTGCTTTAAATGAGCAGCAATACTACACCGCTCGTCATTTTGGAAAAAAACATACGTTCCTTTCAGTCTTCTGCATCTGATTGCCACACTTGTGTTTATCTGATAATACTAGCTATTTATTGAGAAACCCTTTTCTCTGATTTTTATAATTCCTATATCTTTCTATCTTCTACCATTTTGAATATATTTCCCTTAAAGGACATCATGCATAAGTTGGAATTTTCTTGTTAAGTATTTATCTCTTCCATTAAAATACGAATCCCACTCACTGCACATTTCTTGGTAATAATCTAAAGGAAAATGGATAATGAAGACAAGAAGACTGTATTAAAATGTTTTAAGATATTATTTTAAAACTCATCAAACTACTTCTGGAGCGACATGTTAGATGCATTTAAACAAAATACTAATTTTAAAGCTTTTTGGAAAATAGAAAACATCAAATAAATATGCTTTATGGAAGATGATATGAACTGTTAATAAACAACATAAACAATGTGACCAGAAAGACAGAAAAAGGTAAAGTGGAGGGCAAACCTGCTGGTGGGTAAGGAAAAGAGAAACACTGCAGAGCTGAGGTGGGGTAGCAGGTCCACTGGATGATCTCGCACAGTTTGGGCTTTACTCATAACAGTGGGGAAAGGTCACACAGTGATTTAACTAACACCCATAGAATATCTTCATTTAGAAATACTAAAAACAATCCATTATAGCTTTGTATGAAAATTAAATTTTCAGTAAGAGGAAAATAAAAGGGAAGGGCAGAAAGCAAGGAGAAGGAAGGGGAGCAGGAGGAGGGCAAGAAGGCAAGAGACAAAATTTGACTTACCAAAGCTTTTTCCACTATAATGTGCATTTGCAGATACTGAGGTAATAGTTGTAAATGAGATGTTCCCTTTAAAGAGCAAAAAGATAAAACAGAACAATGAAACTAAGTTTCAAAATGGGTTAGTGGGAAGGTTACAATACTTGATACAGTATGTATTGTTGTCTTCATAGTAGCTATTCAAAGTAAAAGATATAAACATAGTATCTTGTTCAAACAATATTAGTACAAAACTGTCTTTGAAATGAACTAAAAGAAATTAGTTGTGTAATTATATTATCTTATGTACACATGTATTTTTTCCCCAGCAAAAGGGGAAATGTAAAGAAAGTAAAAAGATGCATGTAAAACCATTGACAGCAAAAATATGGAAGACCAAGATGGAGGAGTGGTTATAGCAACATGGAGAAGGGAAAAAGGAAGAAAGTGGGTCCTGAGACCCAGGAAGAAGCTGAAATGTGAATTGAAGCAGAGAGAGAGAGAGAAGGGGGTAACTGGCAGCTCCTTCTCCTTGAGATAAGACTCAGTGTAAAAGAGGAGCAGTTCAAGCCGGTGGACATGCAGTGGTGGCTGGCAACCCTGGAGGCCTTTGCAGAGAGACGAGGCAGTGCAGGGGAGCAGGAGAGGTCAAGGATCGCACTGGCTGGCAGTGAGTGCAAAGGGAAAAAGCAGGTGACAAGGAGCATCTTGGAGATGGGATGGCTGACATCAGAACCCAAAGCGGCTGCAGGCTCCATTTACTGGCTCCCAGCTGGGCTAGGACCTACGGACGGTGCTTGGATGGCTGTGAGCTAAATGAAACTGATCTCAGCCAGAAGGTTCAGGCTCATTGAGGTTACCCACTATCCCACCAAAAAACTACTGCAGACTTGCTGGGATGGATCAGCACGGACCAGGGCTCTCTCCACACACTGTTTACCAGTGACAGCAGAGAAAATCTGGTAGGAGAGGTTGTGTATCCTCGGTATCATTTGTTTTTTATTGTTATGGTGTAATGACTTGCTTTTGCTTTTTTACTTTTTGCTTTCATTTTTTTCTCCTTCATTGTTTGACCCTGCTTTTATATGAGTGTGATTGTGGTTTTTAGCCTCTTTGTGACTGTGGTTCTGTCTTGTTTTATCCCTTCTTTCTCTCATTCTCATCTTCCGCACCAGTTTCTCAGTTAGCGTGATCCCACTCTGTCCTCCAACCTTACTTCTAATCTCTTCCTCCTCTACCACTTCTATTTTCACATTAACCCATTATAAATTTTAACCTGAGGCCAAAATTGACATTTTAAGGACTTGTACACTGCACATAATTTTGTTTTGCTTTAGGTTTTGCTATATAACCACTAATCTAGCTCATGCAGTTAAAGTTGGAAAATTAATGGTTAGCTCAGTTTGTCATTTTTTAGGTTGTTTGATGCTATTGGTGGCACTATAGCCAAAAATGACATAACTCTACTAAAAAGCTGTTCTTCCTAGCAGTCAATGACTGAGAGTGCCTAAGGGTCTCAGGAAACATTGTGGCACAGTGCCGAACAACCAGGAATGGGGCAAACCAGAAACAACTTGTCATCTACAAAAATTAAAGATGTAGGATCTTCCAACAGATTTAAAACTCAAAAACCAGCTACACCTGGAAGACACCTCAGAAAAGTAGTCATTGTCTAAGGGTCCTAAACACTATCAACAAAGCAATACAGAACACACAATTTATAAGCATCATTCCAGTAATTAAACTAAACAAATAAAATGAGAAGACATGTAACCAAGATGCAACCCCAGACATCCAGTACACCAGAGGCAGACCTAGGACAGTCTGAAAGCCTCCCACTTGGCCCTGCTGAAGTATTAATAACAAAGCAATTGAATGAGGTTCTGGGGAAAAAATCAAATCACAAATAACCTCTCTGATATCTGAAGAGATGCTGTCCAAAATAAAGGCAAATGATTAGTGATGCCAGAATAAATACAGACAAAAAAGCAGACGGCCGTTAGACAATTATGGAAGCCATGAATGCTCAGCATAGGAATAAATAGAATCCATAAAGAAAGTTCAAGCATATATTCAGGAAAGTAAAAATTCCATGGAAAATATTCAAAACAGATTAAGGCAATGTGAGGACAGCATCTCAGACATAGAAGACAGGTTTTCAGTTAGTGATAATGAAAACAGATTCCTCAAAAATAGCAATGGACCAGGAAAAATCAATCCAGCAGCTTCTAGATGAGACAAAGAATAACTTAAAAGTTATTGGAAATGAAAAACCAGAAGATACAAGTGAAAAAAAAAGTTCACAGATGTCATGGCAGAAAGCTTTCCTGGTAGAAAAAAAGAATTTGACATATATATAAGTGAAGTATATAGAAACTCAATTAGCTACAATAAAAAAGTCTACACTCAAGCATATCACAGTCAAGATTCCAGAAAATCAACACAAGAATATACTCTTAAAAGTTGTTATTGAAAAGAAACAAATGACCTGTAAAGAAAAATCCATCAGAATCACAGCCTACATCTCAGCACAAACTTTCAAGTCAAGGAGATCTTGCTATGAAATATTTCAAGTTTTAAAGTAAAATAATCTTCAAGCCACACTGATGTACATACAAAACTATCTTTCAAAACCAAGGAGAAATAAGATACTTTCATGACAAAGAACAAACGAGGAAATTACCACCAAACCAGCACTCCAAAAGTTTTCAAAGACATTCTAGAAAGAGATAAAGACTTCCATTCAATGAACCCCAACAGAAAAATCCAAAAGGCAAGACGAACAATTAAACACAGGGAGAGAAAAAAAAAGGAGCCAACAAAAGGAAACTAACATGACAAGGATAAGTTAATATATAATAGTTATAACCATCAGTGTTAATGGTCTCAATTCACCAATCAAAAGACACTGGAATTATGTATAAAGTAAGATCCAAATATGCTGCTTACAAGAAAAACATTTAACTCAAAAAGAAATTCATATACTGAAAGGCAAAGGATGGAAAATACTCCATGCAACAGAAACCCAGAAAAAAGTCAGGGAGAGTTATTCTACTCACAGACAAAGTGAGTTTCAAGCCAAGACTCAATAACAGCTAAAGATGATCACTACGGCCTTGTAACAGGAACAACTCAAGAGGAGGAGATAACAATCACAACTATCTATGCAAGAAATACCAGTGCGCCCAACTATATAAAAATACTAATGGGCATGTAAAATCAAATAAGCATTATTACAAATGTCTTGGGAAAATCAATATCCCACTGTCACAAAAAGACAGATCAACTAGACAAAATATCAACAATGAAATATTAGAACTAAATCAAACTTATGAAAAACTGGATTTAGTAGATGTCCACAGTGTTCTACCCCACATCAGAATACACATTCTTCTCAGATGCAAATAGGGTCTTCTCCAAAGTAGACCATATACTAGCTCAAAAAACATGTTTAAGTAAATGCAAAGGAATTAAATTACCCTATGCATATTATCATACAAAAATGCAATGAAATTGGAAATCTATGGCAACGGAAACCATAAAAAGTTCATAAACACATGGAAATTAAATAACATTCTTCTAAACAACCAGTGAGTCATAAATGACATTAAGGAAGAAATTAAACAGTTTTTACAGTTGAATGATGACAATACAACATAGCAGAACTTATGAGACACAATGAAGGTAGGCCTAAGAGGAAAATTTATACCACTAAAGACCCATACTAGGAAAACAGAGAAAGAGCATATAAACAACTTAATAGGAAACCTCAAACTTCTAGAAAAAGATGAGCAAGCTAAGCCAAAAGCTCATATGAGGGAGGAAATTTTAAAGATCATAGCAAAAATTAACATATTGGAGACTAAAAATAAACACCATCAATGAAAAATAAGACTTTGTTTCTTTGAAAGATTAAATAAAATTGGCAAACCCTTATCCAATCTTATCCAAAGAGAAAGAAAAGACTCAAATCCATACAATTAGGAATGAAAAGGCTGAAATCACAATGGACCATGCAGAAATCCAGGAGTTCATCTATACCAACTTTGAAAATTTCTACTGTAATAAGATAGAAATGCAGAAGAAACTGACACATTCCTAGGTATAGATGAATTACTAAAGCTGAATCAGGAAAAAATCCTAAATAAACCAATGTCAATCAATGGAATCAAAGATGTAATTAAAACCTACCAACAAAGAAAAGCCCAGGCCCTGACAGATTTACTGCTGAACTGTATAAGAAATTTAGAGAAAATATAACACCAGCACTTCTCAAACTCTTTAATGAAATTAAAAGTGAAGCAATAATCCCAAATTTATTCCTGGACTAAAGCGGAGAAGGAACCAAATAAGAAAGAGAATTACAGGTCAATTTCCCTAATGAACATAGATGCAAAATCTCAATAAGATACTGGCAAACAAAATGCTGCAAATCATCAAAAAGATTATACACCATGACCAAGTGGGATATAACCAGGAATGGTTAAACATATGTAAATCAATAAATGTAATACACTATATTAACAGAGCCAATCACAAAAATTACATACTCATTTCAAAAGGTGCAGAAAAAGTTTTGATAAACTCCTCTACCTATTCATGATAGAAAGCCTACAGAAAATTGAATAGATGATCTTTTATCTCAATCTGATGAAAGTCATCTATGACATACCCACAGCCAACTTCATACAAAATGGACAAAAATTGAAAGTCATCTCTCTAAAATAAAGAATAAGACAAGGTTGTCCACTGTCAGCACTCTTATTCAACACAGTCTGAAGCTTTAGCCACAACAATTAGAAAATAGAAAGAAATAATTGAATAAAGATGAGATGAAGTTAAATTATCATTATTTGTAGATGACATGATACTCTGAATAAAAGACTCCAAAACTGCTCTAAAATACTGATAACGTTTAATAAGCAAATTCAGTAGTATCTGGATAGAAAACCACCAAATTCAATAGCCTTTCTTTACACAAATAACAAACTCACTGAGAAAAACATCGGGGAAAACACACCTTTCACAATAGCATCCAAAGGGGGGGGAATGAAATACCTAGGAATCCATGTAAGGGAGGGTAAAAGAAT